ACATGGCTGAGAGCCTGAGTGAAGGCGTTGCGAGAGGCGTGGTGCACCTGCACATTGGTCGTAGTTTGCAATTTGGTAGTCGGTTCTGACGCATGGTCGCTGTGCTGCGATTCCTTTGCGTTGTGCGATTGAACGTTTGGGGAATGTGCTTTGGGGCGAATAACAGATCCACTGTGCGAAACTGTGGACTGCGGTCATCGCCAGCGTGCCAACACCGCACGGCAATGCCTTCTGGCAACAACCCAAAAGGCGTCAAACTGATGAACACTGTTCTCACATCCTGTACTCGTTGTTCGAAGCCGGAAACCATGTTCCGTTGGCTAGAGAGGTTGAGCTGACGTTGACAATCATTTGGCCGCACTTTCAGGCTGTGCGTATTCTGTTTAGCGCTGCGGTTGCTTAGCGCGAGTGCGCCTACTTCTTGTGAATGTGTGGCTCTAGTATTTTTGCTCTGCGGAGGGCTGGGGTGTTAAATGTTTAGTGCTAGCATTGGCTACACCTCCAGCTGGAAGGTGCAGTAGTATGGGGAGGTAGATGCTTTACCAGTGAATGCATGCATTATAGTGTGGGAGCATCAGCGGTCATTGCGAGATATACACTGTTGGTTCTGTGGTATAATAGGGTGCGTCGAGGAGCTCAAGTGCCTGCATCTGAGCACATTATTGAGTTTGCGGGCGATACGCAAAACATCACGGCAGCCTCCAAGCATTGCAGCGAGTGCGCCGCATGTGCCTACCAGCAACGGACAGTCAACGTGAAACTTCGTAGCATTTTTTGTTCAACATCGGTCAGCTCGCGTGTGTTGCACGATGTAAGGCCATGCACAGCACTGTGTGTTGCATCGCTTGTTTGTGCACGAGGTTGGTTGAGTCTCATGGGAGCAGTTGTTGTCTCGCTTTGGCTCAAAGGATATGCAAAGGCAGCAGCCAGAACTGTTAAGCGATATAGATGTAACACGTGCAAAGAGTTTAGAAAACATCATCGTTTGAATCTTCACCGTATCGATGACTTGCGTTACGCCTTTCCTTCGTTTACCAGGCAGTTTACAGCACGGCATGCAGCCGCATGTATGCAGTTATGTTGCTGCGTCCAGGGCGTGTATCTCACAACTGGTGAAGCGCTGACTAGGAGACGATTTGTGTCAAAGAGGGCAGTGTCATTAGAAGATATTTTGCGCAGTTGTCGGCACAGATCTGTGACCAGCCAAATATTGTCCACAGCACTGTCTGCACTTGAGAAAGTTAAGAATGCATTTGCTCCGCTTTTGCTCACCCCTTTTGTCTGGGGGCATTCCCCCTTAAACGAGTACGAAGTGTTAGTCACTATGGATGCATGACGAGTGACCCGGAAATCCGTTGCACTCCGCGCACGATATTGGCCGCATCCTGCACTGCTTTGGTATAATTGGTGGCCGATACATTGATGGCATTGTGCATATGGAAGGCATGGTGCGCACTACCCGTTAGCGCGGCTGCCGCCTCTTGTGAAATGGCCGTTGCAAAGATCTATGGAACGTGTACGGACAGCAAGTGCGTTGTGTACGGGGCGGGGCAGCTGCGGATATGGGCATGGAGCATCTAGGGATAGTTGTAGACGCAGGGGAGCAGTGTTGTGGTTACCCGTCGGCGACGCCTGACGAATACGCTCTTTTAGGCATAGGCGGAATGCATGTTGTGCTGAACAATGCTGGTCTCCTCTTCGGGTGGGCGGCAAGCATAGAGCAAGTCAATAACTCTCAATGATGGCGTGTAGAGGGGTGTGCGCCATGTTAGCAGTGGTGATCAGCGGACTGAACCGTTTGACAAGTTTTTCCCTCCGAGAAGCTGTGCGTGTGTAGATGCACAGAGAGGTGCAGAATGCAAGGCTGCGGTGCGTATGTGTGTCATCGTCTGTTTCGCTGTTGGAGGGTAGAAGTGGCAGGCACAGGGCCAGCCCTGTGACGGCTGCAGGGCGTACATTAGGCGCTTGCGTGGTGTTGCTTCAGGAACAGCGTGGACTGCAGAGCCCTGGCGTGCAGACATGGCTGAGCTTTTGAGCGAAGCTCTGGCGTGTTGAACCTGCAAACTGGTAGGCACTTGCCGACTATGACACCAAGTGCGTTCCTGTCGTGAAGACATATCTGCGACTACAACGCATATGCGCTCGGTTGCCCACGCTTTCTTGTATCGCTGTATCGCTTACCTCCAGCTCTTCTAGACAAGGTTACCCACTGCGCGTTTGTTCGTACAGCTTGCAAAGGTGGGGACAGGTAGGCTGTGGTTAGTGTGTCCGTCTGCTTGCGCCATTGTGCTGGTGCCCAAGCAACAAGGGGAACAAGGAACGCCTGTTGCTCCAACAGAATGCACAGCTGTTGTCACCAGAGAGAGAGCGGCGTGTGTGAAAGCTAGCAAATGGTCGGTCTGCGCACCCTCGATGCTGTCACCTGCCGAACACCTGGAGCAGACCATTGGTCCTTTCGGCGATCGGGATTTAAGCAAAGATTAATGTTGAGGCACATGTTGTGAGGGTCGTTCACGGAGTTCCTCCTGCAACAGTTTCTTTGCAGCTTATGAATGAGTTGTGTCTGGTTTTGAGCGTAGTGTTGTGGGATGGATAGAGGAGTGCGAAGTAGACAATCGCCAGTCTTTGCGACTGAAGGATTGAAACAACGCTGCATGGCCGGTTTTTTTGCACATGTCGATTTTGACATGAACTCGGGCGTTGCCGACGGGAAGACGTTGTGCCAGCGCGTCGACACTACTAGTTGTGCGCGGGGAACGTTGGTGCGCTGCGGGTGGGAGACTGTTCCATGCAATGTGAAAAATCTTTTATCGAATATCCGTGTGTAACGTGCGCGTTTTTGTGCCAGCCTGTCTGGTGAGAGCGCTTGGTACAATGGCACGTTCTTGGTTGTGCTGGAAGGATGATAGTTGAGCATGGGTGAAGAAAGGTAAAGAAGGAAGAGGGAAAGGGGTGTTGCTGGGCCGTTAAGGCAGTCCTAATGTTTGGGTGGTACGACAAAAGTATGGCGGTGAGGGACGTGTTTGTGGTACATCAGTACTGGGTATTTCTGAAGCAGCGTTATAATAGAATGTTTGGCTGGAGACTTGGCAGACTTCCGTTTCGATACATTAGTGAGTTGGTTGACGGTGCAGGCGCCGAACAAACTGCAGAAGAAACAGTAGAATTTGATGCCGCAGGGAATGTAAGCACGTTCATCCGGCTGCAGGGACCCGGGTTGAGGCGCGTGCTTATGTGGTTTGCATTTAGCGGGAGGCATCCTGGGAGCGCGCGATAACGTTGAATTCGTTCATGCGCTCCCGTTAGATTGGTCGGTGCAGAGCACAACTTTTTGCGCTGCTGCAGCATCATTCGGTGCTTCACAAGCCTTCGATGTACTATTGATTTCTGCTCAAAAGCGAGTAAGCACTGGAGAGTGTTCGTGCGCCGCCTTTCGTCCCCAAATCTGTCCACGTACGGCCAAGATTAAAAGGTGTACAAGTTTTCCGTTCGGTAGCAAAGGAGAGGCGAGCAGACTGGCAAGGAGTGTTTCAACTTTCTTGTCCTGAAGAAACGCTGCCTGCGAGAGGTGAGACCTGCCGGACCCAAAACCCCGCCTGCCGAGAATCTTGCGCACTTTGTCTG